CATCTACAAACTAGTGGAATATAGACACTAAAAACAATACACTAATCTTTTTTGTACTTTCACATTTGCTAAAAGCTCAAGAACTGTATTTTGGCCAAAATAATGAGCAAAAAAATACAGTACCGTGCAAAAATCAAAGGCCACCCTTCAATTATGTATATAACTAACATCTAAATATACTTTTTACATATTTAGTGTCCACACTTTGCCTTTATTACAGCTCCCATTCTTTTTAGAAGAGTTTCTTTCAGTCTTTCAAAGAAATCTGCAGGGATATTATTGCACATCTCTAAAGTTCAGTCTTAGAAGTTGGTTGCATTTTCTGCTTCTCACAATCCAAATAATCCTAAACACATTTCATTGATGCTGAGGCCTGGACTCTGGGGTCGACAGTCCATTGTTCTAAGAACCCTAGGTTTTTATTTGGTTTGCAAATTTCCTTCTTTTTTGTCTATTTTTATTTGAGAGTTGTCTTATCATGGTGGAAGGATCAACAGAAACACATGTAGATTCTCAAAAATGAAAGGTTTAAGTGCCGTTTATCTGATGGTGATATTTTTGGTGGTCTGTCAGGTCTTGGAGGGTTGTTAGGATTCCCATTTTTCTACACCTTTTAATCATTTTGAACTCATGTTTTGGAAACCTGTTTTTTCCATTTACTTTCCTTTAACTTTCCCCTTCCTTATGCAGGGAGATTATCTTATGTCTAATCTCCTTAATACTTTTATTTTTTATTTTTTCAATTTTATTTAGCATTATTTTCAATTGCAAAATCAATGCAGTTTTATAGTCATCGTTATGCATTTTACCACACCTAAGGTACATAAATTCTACTACAGATACATCACTAGTGCAGAGTATAGAGCAGTGAAAGCCCATTTGCTGATGTATAATGTACACAGCTGTGTAGCACACAGTTCAGCCCATACATTAGGCATTAGGAGAGAGTGGAATTAAAGAGTAATGAGAACAGTGACTAGTGAACAACACATCCAGCCACATTGATTTAGCCCAGGTACCTCTTTTAGGAAGCATTTTCAGCTTCCCTTTCATTTGCATTCAAATGGGAGATCTATTGTGTAGTAAAGTCAATATCTAACTTCTAGTGGGAAACCGTGCAATGTTAAATTCAGTTTAGTCAATTTTAGACCCCAATAAAGTGACAACTCAACAAAAAAATCTCTCCTAGGCAATTGCAAAACCAATAAAACTTCCTTCGATGCCCTGAAAAAACCTATGCCGAAGCTGATCTGTAGTCAGTCCATTCCTGGTAGTAAATCCCAGTGTCCTGTGCAAGCTGTAGCAATGCAGCCCTGGACCATGAATGCCTATGCCAACCTCTGTGTGCCCAACTTCCATTCATCTGGCAGGCTGGTGCTCCCCCACTAAGGCTAGACCACCCGGAGCAGGGCCCATTAGCAGAATAAAGAGCCCCCCCTTTATCCTTCAGAGTTTCCCCTGGCTGGAGTCTCTTAAAGCCCATAGAGTGGGCCTGTGTGTTTAACCCTGAAGCCCAAGTAGCACGCAAGGAGCCTCTGATGTGGGGCTATTTAATGCTTCAGTGCTGCGAGGAGTCGAGTTTAACCATTTAGACGGGCCATCAAAGGCGAGGCCGAAGGACCGAGAAAGGGCGACTCTACATGAATGGGTGGTTCACGAGCAGTGATTGGCTCTTTTCTGGCACTAAAATTGGCCTTTTGTTCAGCTGGTGTGAACCAGGGGTTAAGTTTCGGTGTATAGAGATCGGGAACGAATATTTCACTGTTTATGTAATAGTGCCATCAAGGTGAGGCCTGTCACAATCATGAATTTTTAGCTGACAATTAACTGCCATATAAATACTCATTAAACAATTTAATTGTCTTTTTTGCTTCCTAGCGTTGATACTTAGTAGCTCCCAACTGACTGGAGACACAGCTCAAGCTCAAATAAACAAATATTACTCACTGCTGCCTTCTAACGGTGTTATAGGACCAGGTCTCAATACATGTGAATCTCTATTCTAGTCTATTCTATTTTAATTTTTCTACATCATTTCAGCACAGCAGCTGCCTTGAACCTTGTATGAAAATTTCATGGAAATGCTCAACAAATACTTGGAAAAAATAGCTTTACACTATAGCTTTTTTACACTCTTTACTTACATTGAGAGTAAATAACATTTTTACTTCCTCCTGTAAAGCTGCCATTCTGAAGATACTTGTTTTTCTTTGGACAGCAACAATATATTAACAAAACCAACAGATAAAAACAAACAACTCCCATTCTGTTTGTTGCAAGGCAAACATATACTTGTGAAAGGTAATATTTGTGGAAAATAACTGTAATCAACTTTTGCAGTCAAGTAATTATGTAATAATTGCAATAAGCCTAATTAAAGTTACATAGATTTTTAAATATTGGTAAAATACTGCTGATAAAACACCTGTATAGATGAATTATTTCATGTTGTAATGAGCACACTGCTCTAAAATGAGGAGAACCTCTGCTTTGTGAGGAATTTAAATGCTTTCATACAGTTAACATTATAAAGAGCTAGCAACCACTAGGTTTATACAAGTACGGATGCACTATGATATGAGACATACATCAGTATTGGCAGATAATTGCTTTCAAAAAATCTACGTTAGACAAATGTTTAGACTTGACTGATATTATAAACCAGTATCTGATGATGTGTTCATTGTATGCTAGATTACTGTGCTAAAAAGTCTGTATTTAATTCATTGTACCGCATTTTTAGCTCTCTAGAAATAAATGTAATATTTCTATGTAATGCTCATTCAGGTGGATCTAGTTCCAACTTCTGGATTTGATAAATATTCATCAGCATTGGCTGACGTGTCCATGAGAAATATTGGATATTTGCATCAGCCCACAGTTCTTACACTGGTTACAACACTGGAGAATGAACTGGTAAACCTGAACGATGCATCCAGTTCTAACCATTATAATAAGGATAACTGTTGTTGTTAATGTTGTAACACCAACAAACCTTCATGAGAGTTAAGTAACAGAAATCAACAAAACTGTTCAGAGAGGTTACAATATGTACATTACTTAAGACTTTGTGAGTTTCTGCTGTCCATTTACTCCTCACAAATGCAATCAGTGACAATACTTTTTAGGCCCTACTAGGGGTGGCCAATGTGATATCTATCATTATTATGAGAAATTAGGACAGAATATGTTTTTCTGAACATCGCCAGTACCAACTGCATTTAATTGTACAGTGCATTTTGTGAAACATGAAATAAATTAGAAAAATCTAACATCTTGATATGTATTGTGCATTATGAAAATGTCTGAGTATTAGTTAAATTTTTTCATCGTCACCCACGCTAGCCTGTCTTTTTTTCTGATGGCCTATGTTTAATAACGAGGGTGAGAAACTTCTTTCTTCCTCTCATTGTCAGTGATGCTACTGATTGAAGGACCCACTCACCCTCAGCTAAGCTTTGGCGTCATTGTACTGAGTGCTCACTCATCTTCTGGTCAAAAGAGCGAGACAAAAAGACAAAAAGTGTCAGTAACGAGATCTATAAATTGACTTGCTCATTCCAAGGACTGCTTTAGGATTTGCACAGCAATATCATTTGATCCAACACACTGCAGTGAAGGCATTCAGTGATGTAAAATCCTCATAGATGTTCACTAAATCAAAGAAATTATGTTCCTGCCATGCATAACAACAAGCAATCTAGACAAACAGGTGTCTTCAATCAAATCCACATTGGTTTTGTCATACAGAAAAAATGCAGGTCCAAGACACAGAGTCAATATTATTATATATGCAAACTGAAATGGACTGAAACACATTAATTCAGCTTGCAATCAAAGTTTATTTGAATAATGAATACAGCATATCCCAAAAGACACATTTGACAGCTAACTTATGCAGAGAGAGAAGGAGAGGACAGAGACAGAAGAGGTTCTAATTTCCTTCTCAGTGTAATCAAATACTCATCCCTTGCTTCTCTATTACAGAACCAACTAAATGAAACAACTACGACAGAATATGGTTCTCCTTCTGTATGCCCACAATGCGGGATCGATTATGCAATCCGTACAGATTAACTGACACAAGCTTACAATTTGTTTTTAGAAGTTAAGATGACAAGAGCATCCTCAAGGACTTTAAATATCCTCTACTGGCAATGAACCATCTCTCCTACACATATCAAACTATGTATGGGGCACAGAAGCCACTTTCCTCCTTCTATAGGCTGTTACATGAGAATTGGCACAAAAATCACTTCTCTTAAACACAAAAGGAATCAAATTCGCTGCAGCCCACACAAAGAGCACACTCATCTGTGTTGAGCAACACCACCCACACGCCTGGCAGTCAATAAGAATCTGCATCCTCATGATACGCAGCTGGAAAAACCCTCGCCATACGTGATGAAATTTCCCTAGAAGCACAGGCACATCGAGGACCGAGTGGCCAAAGCTATGAAGAAACCTTAACAAATGAAGTCGACTTGCAATTAAGAGCCAGAGAAAGAACCCATAATCTAACTGACAATGAAGTGGAACAAAGCAGACGGTGCAAATTGAGGGTCATCATGGTTGGACTATCAACTTGACAGGTGCAGCTCTCAGATGACCACTCTGAGCAGCAGACCATCACATCCATCCACTGGATGTCAATCAATAAGAGTCATAGCACCAGGCTTGGCTGTAAAATATCAAGGGCTTATGTGACTGACAGGCGTGAATTAAGTTTAAGGGCACATCAGCCTTGTCCAGGTCCATTTATCAAAAAAGGGGGTGAATGACTAGCACCATGCTTCAAACATCAGCACCCTGCAACATCACTGAAGTCCATGTCCAGTCCTGAGGAACGCAGGCTTGGAGGTAGGACGTGTGCATAGAAAATGACACAAAAGGAGAACAAACCCACCAAAAATCACAGAAATTCCAGTCCACGCCCAGTCTTGACTGTGCCAGCTGAAAGATAGCAAAGCTAAAATGCTAAAAAAAAAAGCATCACCTACCTTCCAAGCTCGTCTCCTATCTCGTAGTAATCCTCCACATTCTCCTGGTTGAAGACGGTCATGGTGCTGCTGCTGGGCGCTTCCTACACAGCGGGATTCCCAAATGAGCCGCCCAGCCTCATGACAGCTTTCGGCGAAACCTTCTCATATTCGCTCTGGAGGAGGTGGAGAGACACGGGAGACACTGGGTGAGACGATTTAGACGTTTCTGAGGAAAAAATAAGGGAAGAAGTGCCCTCCACAAACACAACCACCGGCGTTAAGGTTAGTTAGCTAGAAGCTAGCCATCATCAGTCAGTTAGGTGTCGGTTTGGGTCTCCCCTCCGAGTGTAGCTAGACAACACAGACAACAAAGCAACTTCAGCCGAAAAGCTTGAGGCAAGAGAGAACCGTACATAAAAACGAGATAGCGAACAAATACTTGGCTAAAAAATACGTTTTTTCCTCCGAAACGTGTGTTCATTCACCGAGCCTGTCCGTTCGTGTGGTGTGTCTGTGTGAAGAAACAGCTGCTGCTGCTATATCGTTAACGTTACCGCGCAACTACAAGACACGACACACGTACATACAAGCGCCAACGGAAAACGTTAGCCTTTAACACTTCGCTGTGTAAGTTTAATAAAATGGGGGTGGAAAAATAAAGCGACTAACGCAGTCAAGGCTTCGTTCCGTTCAGTTAACTGAGGAAACGTGTAGGATACGCTCACCCGGAACATGGCCATTACATTAGCAATAAATAAGCGAGTAAAATTACCTCTGAACTTGAGCCGTCGTCAGTTCGGATGAGGCAGGTAAAGTCCGGAGAGAAGCGCCAGCATTAACGGCAGCATAGCCTCCCGTCACGAACATGGACTGACTGGTGGGAGAAAACGAGAAATGGGAGGACTGCAACAATGTAGGTGTGTGTGTGTGTGTGTGTGTGTAACGACCCAGTGTCGAGTCGTTTCAGTCTGGAGGAGGCGGTATAGAGCGGATACTCAGGGGGCATTGGCCTCCAGCCATGACTTCTCCAACAGGCATTTAAATATGTAAACTAAATGAGTCCGTTTCTACATATAGGCTACGGTGGCCCCCAAAAATATTTGGTCACTTTAACCGTTTGACCGCTGGTAATTTTTTTCCAGAGTACTCCATTAAATGTTTAAAATGATATTTATTTCAGAGACAAATACTTTCAGCACAGCTGAAGGTGGACGTTGTGTAGAGAAGACCTCCAACTACACTGTACTACACACTTAAAAAAGATTGATCTTCATTGGTTCATCTTTAGTAAATGCAATGGCTTTATTAAGAATGTGTTAAATGGTTCTTTGCATGCTGAAATGGTTCTTCGTATTTGTAGAGAATGTGGTGAACATGGTTCTGTTTTGAAAAGGGTTCTATGATGCACCACAAAGGGTTCTGCTATTGTTATGATGTCAAGCTTGTAACAATAGAAGAACCCTTTTTGGTGCTATATAGAACCGTATGCAACACGTTCTCCATCAATCTGAAAATCCATTACACCATGCAAAGAATAAATAATGTGATTACTATGGGATAAAGTAATCTCTGAAGCGACTAGGCCCATTTATTTTAACTATGTCTAGCATTCTATACACTGTTACTACGCTATAATCATAGCCTAGTTAGTCTTAACTAGTCCTAAATTTAGAGATTAGTAGTGTTCAAGGCACTTGATTGTACTGTACTAGCCTTTTTGGATTCAGGAGACACTTAAAATGGGAAATAAAAAAAAACATTTCCCCCAATCCAGTTGCTGGGAAGCAAGCAAAGTCATTCAGAGTGGTTTGACGTGAAATGGCTCATTACAGAGAAACATACCGACTTGTGGTGGTGATAGGAACCAGGGGTCATGATGTCTACATTGCAAATATATCCATTTTATTTATTATCAAAAATTACCAGTGAACCTAAATGTGTCTTCAGAATTTTATATATACTAATTTGCCTTGTATCTCTGAATAGATTTAAATAGATTTAAAAATATGTTTTCGGCTAAAATCTGATTGCAAAACTATTGTGAAACAACTTTCTGTAAGGCAGCTTTTAGAAGCATTAAACTAATCATATGTCTGGTTCCTATCACCATCGCTGTTTTGACTAGGCATTTCACATCAACACACTCTGAAATACTTTGTTTTAATTATGCTGATTTTTTTAAGAATTGCATGTTTATTCCAGTGTATTCTTTCTAAATGTGCAGGATTACTATAAATAGCATCAATAAATTACAAGTAACTTAACTGAGAAAGTTAAATATCTGTCATTCAGGGCCTACGACGTTAATGTCTTATATTCCTATAACATGCAGTCCCATATGACCTGACGACCTTTATTAGCCCATATTCACCCCATACACTCTATGTAGTTAGCGTCTGTCTTAGGGCTTGATTACTGTGTGGCTGAACACTTAAGCCATGTTAAATATTCAGCTGTTGAGTTATAGTGTAGTATAGTATTCACTACCATATCCTGTATTGTTCTTTTGTCTTGTTTGTACTGTGCCACATGATCAGCTCAAGACTTTCCCACAAATCCACAAGGTGACATTTCTCTGGAAAACGCTGTCCTGCGGTTGTCGTGTATTCACACGCTCATTAAGCAGTCAGGCATGAGTGTGACACGGGAAAAAGGCTGCACGCTAACTCTTGAGTAAACGGATACAATAATGATCAGTGGTGTGAATGACCTCAAGAGGCTGTGGATAGGAGTGATGTGGGCCTCTCTGCAACTTACACCATTGTTAAGGGGCTTTATGCCACTTGTGGGACCTTGAGTGATTTCTTAGGAGTGCAATTACTACAATCACTGCAAATAATGACTTCTTACATGGATTACATATCCTTTCTGAAGCAGTTTTTTATTAGTTGTCTTGTTATAATCTGTTGGAGTTTAAGTTAAAAAGATAAATGTTTAAAGAATTGCCTACAGATCTAGAAATTTTGCCAAATAATGACTCATATAAGACTCTGCATGGCTTTCACCTTAAAAACATTTAACTTGGTTGCTCTTGACCAACTTCGTCTTGTTTCTTAAAATATTATACGCTTGCGCCATCTGTTTGTGGAATTGCACATTGCAAGCAGTTGGGCTTTTTAGAGAAAATAGCAGGGGGAGTCAAGAATAGTTGCTCAAATGCACATACACTGAGCTGCCAGTTAATTAAATAAGACTGCTCATTATATAAACTGTAGTCAGTTTTGGTCCACCAACTACTTCATTTGTCATCAGTCAGTCTCTGACCACAGGGCCACTGTTAACAAATATTATTTGGGTGTCAGTCCGTTCTCAGCACAGCATTGACATCAACATGGTCATGGAACAGAAACCCTTCCTGTTGGTCCACCTTGCTGGTGTACAGCTATGAGAATGTAGCCCATCCATTGATGCACAATTTGTCAAAATTTCAGCATAATTAAATGGTTAAGATGTAAACAAAGTGATTCAGAGTGGTTTTATGTGAAATTCTCCATTATAGAGAAACTTAGAGTCAGAATTGTTCACAGTGGTGGTGATAGGAACCAGACGTCTGAAGTGTTTAATGCCTCTAAAAGCTACATCACATAAAGTTTTATGGGAAATGGTAATGAATATGTTGCCTGACGCCTGAGACATTGTTTTATGATAGGTTTGGTTCTTCACAATGTACCATTTCACATCGAACATCGAATTTGTTTACATCTTGATGATGGAATATTTTTTTGATGAATAAATGTAGTAAACATAATAATATGGTTTAACTACATAGCTACTTTCTTAAGCCCAGTGTTACTTTACCACATGTAAGCAACTCAGAAAAAAACATGTATGTGATATGAAGGTAAATATGTATGTAGAAGTTTATGTAAAGCCAAAGTAAAGAGTTTTAAAAGATCAAAGTAAGTGAAGCAGCAGCTGTTCGACATGAGATTACTTTAGTACTGTGTATAGGAGAACACATTTATCCGTATTTACTAAGCAATAAAAAAGTGAGAGTGCTGATCTAAGATCACTTTGTCCTTGTCCATTTAATTGCATTCATAACTGAAACTGATCAAGATCAGCACTATTACCACATTACTTATTTGCCTGTAGTTTGTGTTATTGCCTGTGGGAGTGAATGTGGTGGTGAATCAGCCACTGCGCTACAATAAGCAGGTTTGCTGATAACACAGTGCTGCGTCTCATATTTCATCAGTCGTAAATACCCATCTTAAATCTGCATTGTAATTTGCTCAACACCCCTCCTCTGCTTCATAACCACAGACGCCCAGTAGTTTACACCCAAAACAGGACGACATGGTACAGCGTGTTGACTGATTCATGACTCATCGCTTATTGTTGACAGCAGCTACAGTCGTAGTGTCAGTTTTTCATAGACTTTAAATGATGAGTTTTGACTCTCGTCTCCGCACAAGAGACAAAGTGTTGACATGTAGGGAGGCGAAAGTTTTAATCCCAATAATTAAAAGCCTTGGATAGTTGACATAAACTCTCAAGGCTGCCCGATGGATTGTCTGTCATCAAAGTAGTGCTACTGCATTGTAGACTGTTCTTTGATTTAGAGTCGCTAAGGGCCTACAGCACTGAGATGAGAGTGATGAAACTCACCCACAACCTCTGGTACTCCCTGCAGTAGTAGTTAAATGTTACACTCACATAGAGATTTATGATGAATGGTTATAGTCTAATCAGTTCTTTTGTTACTCTCAAACTCCATGGAGGCATGTGGAAATGGACAGAAGTGGGTAAAAATACATCTCAAAAAGCCAAATGCATAAGAATATCAAAATCAAGCTCATAATAGTGCAACTAAAAATGTATCAATGTAATTTTTCAAATTTCATATTAAAAAGTATGCTTTTTATACATCTGTAAAATATGTAAATTGTCTAATATCATGTAAAAATAAAAAAATGTGAAATATATATCTGTAATATTTTGGTATTTCTTAAAATACAAAAAGAGCAGGAGATCAGTAGTTCTGTCATAGATCAAATATCTGGAGCAGGGGGCAGGACTGCTAGCAACTCCAAAGGGGAGTTAACAGGTCTATGGCACTAATGGGTCAAAGGAACTAACAGGTCGGTAGTGCTAATGCGTCTGTTGTCTTAACAGGTCAATGCTGCTAAAGTGTCTATGGCACTAACAGAGCTATGGCAGCAATAGGACTAGTTCCTAGTGAGGCTATGGCACTGATAGGTCCGTGGCTCTAATGGATCTACACCATGAACAGGACTATGGCGGTAACAGGTCTATATGACTAACAGATCTATGGTGCCAACGAGTCTATGGCATTAACAGGTCTATGGCACTAACATGGCTATGGCAGTAGTAGAACTATGGTGCTAATGAATCTAATGGGTCCATGGGACCAACAAGTATATGGCACTTGCAAGTCCCTGGCACTAACAAGTCTAGTTGTCAATGAGTCTATGGCACCATTTGAGAGAAGCATTTCCAATATTTTTTAGTACATATAGTATTTGGATGCCAATGAAATATATATTTCACAGGGCGTTCTGGAGCAGATGCACAACTACCTAATGCCAAGGTTTGGCTAAAGGGGTATAAAGCCTCCTAGAATTGGTCTGTGGAACAGTGGAACTGTGTTCTCTAGAGTGATAGAGCTCCATCCAATACCAATACCTTCACAATGAGTTGGAGTGATGTCTGTGATCCAGAATTAATCATCCAACATCAGTACCTGACCTCACTCATGCTCTTGTGGCTGAATACAGCAGCAACATTCCAACATCTAGTGTAAAGCCTTGCCAGATAACGTGGAGGATGTTACTGCAGCAAAGTGGGGTGCCTTCTAATACCCTTGATTTCAGAAATTAGATGAGCAGGTATCTACAAATTTTTGGACACCGTGTTGGCGACTGTAATTCTGTGGCACCACACTGAAACGGCAGTGTGGCACCATCTTGTGT